AGGCTTAGACTTTAAATATTTAATTTGGAGTGATTGTAACATTTACAAAATTAAGTAAATCATAATAGGCAATAGAAACGGAAGTGTTTTATAATTTACATAATACTCAGAGATTGGTAATGTTTTGTGCATAGAAGACCTCATACTACATCATGTGTATCTGTGTGTATATTATATATGTATATGCAGTTGTATTGTGTGTGTGTGTGTGTGTGTATTTGTACTTCTGTATTTGGCTTCATTGTTACACAGCTTTGATGTAATATCTGTTAAAAAATTTTAAGATCCCAGGAAGAATAGCTACTGCTTTGACTCAGTAGCTAATTGGGATCTAAATAAATAAACAAATAACACATCCATTCATCCGTCCATAGAAATATACACCCACCAACTCATACTTCCATTCAATTACCCCCTTACCCATTCATCCTTGTATCCACTTATCCACCCACCCTTATCCTTTCAATTATCCAGCCACCCCTCCATTTATCTAGCAACCAACTCATCCTTTTATCCAAATATCCGACCACCCACATATTTCATTCAAATATCCACCTAACCACTCATCCTTCCATCCAATTATCCACTCACAGGCTCATCCTTCCACCCAGTTATCCACCCACCCAATCATCCCTGCATTCACTTGTCCACCGACTCATCCACTCATCCACTCATCCATCCAGAAGTTGGAGGTGAAACATTTGGACCTGATCACTCAAATATCAAAATTATTCAGCAGTCCAAAGACAGATGGAGACGGTACACTATCTTTTTACAGGACCTAGTTTAGCTACAAGGCTTGACTTACTACATGCAGTGAGGCTAATGCTTTATTCTGATTTCCCTGCCTCCTTTTTCAAACATCAGGATCTGACCCAGTATGGACAAAGACAGGTAGGACTGATTTAAAGCACTTTTTTCAAAAGGCGAAAAAGAATGGACAATCTGGGATTCACATGGAAAATAATGTCATATAAGTGTACTTTTTTTGGTGTTTATTAATTTTCATAGTTGCTCTTAAACAATTCTCAGAAAATAGTTTTGATATGTTAATAAAATATAAAGCTGACTAGTATCTTTTCCATTATTAAAGGAAAAGTCTGGTCATATTCAGAATTAAAACTTCTGAAAGTACTTTAAATACAAAATTATTAGATAATGTTCAATAAATGATAAGTGTTTTTAATTAAGAGTAATTTCATTTGAATGTGCTTTACTGGAGACACCCATTTTTGTCAAAGAGCACTACTGCCACAAACTACCGGTTTGTGACATCACGGTGCCGCTCCGGCTGTTGAGCAAGTCCCAGTTTTTCATCTGGTGTTTTTCTTACGCGCTATTATCCAAGTGATCTTGAAAACATTCTTCTTTGAAATGCTGGCTACGTATTATGTGTTTTTTCTCTTGTGAGTAGTTTGATGGCAAATCCTCCCTCTTCAAGTTGGCAATCCAACGATGAACCCGTCCGTGGTGGATCATGAATCGGAAAGGTGAATTAACTTTTTTTCACTTTTACCTGATGTACAACAACATGCCATGCACATAGGCACTGTCAGTTTAACTATAGGTCTTGCAAATTTCAAAAGTGGTGAAATTTTTGTACTGATTAACTAAATTAATTAAATCACCGCAAACGTATTACATTGGAAAAAATCTATATCTAGATAAGTAATTTTTTCTTAAAAGAAGTGCATTTGTTCTTGGATTGAGGAGGTAAAAGATACATTTTGCCAATGGAACAAGACAATTTACACTTAAAGAAAATACAATTACATTGTCTTATTTCAAGTGCATTTCTATCCAATTATCTTATTTTAAGAGTAAAAATATGAATTCCATTGACAAATCATCTCATTTACCTACTCAAATTAAGACTAAATACACTTAATTTAAGAAATTTTTACTTAATTCTATATTATTTTTCCAGTGTAGTTTTAGGTACAGATAATGATCCACCGATTATTCCTTGCTGACCAGACTTTTCCTTTAAACTGGTAAATTAGTATTTCAGTTTTTTTGTTGTTTTTTTTTTTTTACAACATTTTGGACCATGCAAAACACAGATTTGCCTTCACAAAGCCTCAGAAGGACAACATTCATGTACAAAAAGTATAGCTGTACATGAAATTATGTTTTTGTTTTTATAAAGTGTTTTCAAAATGTTTGTTGTTGTTGGCAATCATATAAATATACTGGTGCGATACTGTAACTTACTATGTTTGATTGGTTTTTGGTATACGTCTATTTTGAATTTATTGCCCCCCAGAGAAAACTCCACCAGCCGCCACTCCTTAAGATAGGCATAAAGGTTCCTCCTCCCACAAGACAATAATCGTAAACATAAAGCCAGATTTATGACTTTTATCAGGATAAAACTTATACATTTAAAAGTTTTTAACTTACCTCTGCTCTACCAGCGCCAAATCAATGGCTGGATCATCTCCTCAATAAGCAATCAAATTCTGCACAGCCCAGGTAATGAGCCATTCATTTGATACAGCTGTGTTGAACTAGCAGAGAATCAAATCAGGCAAGATGGTTCTTGAAGACTGAAGCTGACCCCCACTGATCGAAATTTAAAATATACTGTGTCAGAAAGACCCAGCCAAAGTCCAGACTTAAATCTAATCAAGAATCTATACCAAGAAGTTTAAAACTTATGTAAAAAGGTATCTTTCATCTAATGTGACTCAGAGCTATAGGGAAATAAGAATATGCAAAAGAAAATTTCTATCTGTTCAAGACACCCCCCTAAAATCTTGTCGCCAGTTGTATTAAAAGTTGTTTTGATAAAATATTTTCTCATCAGTATTGAGTCTGACTACAAAGTCAGGCATTAGTTTCAAGACTTTCCAAATGTACAATGTTTGTCCAAATTCATGCCTCCTATGTTTTTTTGTAGTATAAGAAAACAGGAAACACTCCCCAACATACTGTACCAATGTTTTATTACACTTAATGAAATGTTTCACAAAAGATTCGGAAATCATACATACGAGTGCTTTAGTAAAATGAAAAAACACAGCAGACCAGTTTATTCTCACTGTTTGTTGACTCCATTTAATTGATTGTCTTCCCTTGGTCATTGAAAGAGTGGATTAGAGCTGTTTGACATATTATTCCAATGGTACCCTTTGTGCTTCACTGAATTTACCCTTTCTCATTATTGTCCGTCACAATTGGGCTGAAAACCGTATAATTGGAAGCTTTTCAATCAGTAGCATTAGACTGCTGGTTTGTGTTTGCTCGTTCTTCTAGAAACTGAATTGATTTAAAAGCTGTAATGTGGCATTTAGCATCATTAAAATTACCAGGAAAATAAAGGTCACCCATTAAAAATAGCCTTTACTTACAGGTTAAATCAATGAGGTCAAACTAACAGAGATGCTGAGCGTTATAAACAGGGTGACATCAGGTGCAGGGTTTTTGGATGTGGAAAGAGGTTTTAAACTATTTTGTGAAATATACCCCCCCTCCAAAAAAAAAACCAAAACAAATGGTAAAAAAAAACATTAAGAGAGCATTAATGAAAGGCATTTCAGAAATGATTTTCAGAGTCTTTGGCTGGATCATTGGGCTTCTGATCTTCTGACCTGGAGCTCTGTTAAAACAAACATGATATAATTTAAGTACATTTTAACTATTTAAGGCAAAACGCACTTAAAATAAAAGCATATGAATCTTTAACTTCTCAGCAATTTTTCAGTAGTTTTGATGCAAAAGAGCCAAGTGGAAAACTGCAAATAGCTCCTTAACTCAAGAGTGTTTTTAATGGATCTCACATGTTCTAATTAATGGTATTAAATGTGTTTGTTTGCCTACCTTGGACTTAAAAAGCAGGTTAATGACACCCTTTGAGCGTCTGTCAGCTGTTCGGTCAGACGATCCGGAGACAGACATGTTCTTACTGTCCCTTTTGGCTTTAGCTGGGTCCACCTCCTCTCCCCCACCAACGACTGATAGGGACAGACCTACAAACAGGAGGATGAGGGAATGTGTTGTGTTATCTTTAAACGACTCCTCTGTCCCCCGCCCCCCCTTTTTTTTTTTTACTTTTTTTTTTTAAGTCAAATCCTTTTTGGGAAAGCAATTTTGCTCTTGTGGCTTTTCTGCTGATGGTAATCTGCTGTTGCTAGTGATGTGTGTTTGCTTATTGTGGCCGGCAGTACTAATCACAGTTAGTGTATTAACACCACAGCCTGTGCTGGTTCATCTTGTCTGAATGTGGCAGGAGGCCAACAGAGCATCAGTGAACGGTGTTGTGATGCACCACTACAAGGGCAAGGTCATGTAACTGATAAACTGAGACAAACTGGATGCAGAAACATTGGCTGTGTTATAATCTTCCATGTTTCCACCCCTTCCTGGTGGAAAGCTGTATTTTCAAACCTAAACCTGCAATTTTGTTTTCAGGTATATAACTTTGTTAGACTCTGTGTCTTTCTATTTTGATTTTGCCAACTAGTTGAGGTGAATTAGTGTGTGTATATTTTACCTGTGATGGCTGGCAGGGATCGAGAGTTGGCATTGGTCAGAGGCACAGTTGCATCATTTGGCTCGGCCAGGTTGGTGTCACTGCGGAACTCCTGCTTCTTGGACAGCTAGAGGGAGACAGAGATCAGAGAAAGCTCAACAACACTTTGACACAAGCTCTGTATTTTCTGGCTAAAGCCTTTACAATCAGCCCCCTCCTGATCCATCTCTGTTTATACTCTCCTGTCTTGTTCTACAGCCAATGATTCTCACCCTCTTGCAGTCCAGCGTGCTTGTCCTCTCTCTCTCCTCTGTGATGAAAATCATGCTGCTTCTTTTCTTCTTCTTCTTGCTCTTCCTCAGTCTGACCTCTGCATCACCCACTGTCACCACACCCTCCTCACCTATGCTCACACTAACGCTGCCGCTGGAACGGGGTAGAGTGGAGGACCAGGAGTTTGGTGACTCTGGGATGTCCCTTAAAGGGAGAGAGACAAAAGCAAAAGTAGTAAAAAAAATTTCTACGGAGAAGAGAGCGTTTTAAACAGCCAAACTGAAAAAAATAAATAAGTAAATAAAGGAACATATTTTATCTAGGTTATAGCCCAAGGTCAGTTCAGCACCCAGTATATTGATCTTTTCTGCTAAATAGAGGTGGTTGTTAATTAGTTTCAGTAACTTTAGTTTGATAAATACTCACAACATTTAAAGTAAGTAACAAGGACACCACCCCTCTTAATAGGAAAAGTTTTACAGTTAGAGATCAAAGACATTTTTGTCCCTCATCTGTTTTTTTCACTACTTCTGCATTTTTCCATGAATAGAGTGACTTTGGTCAACTCCACAAAGGTTACAGTTAGTCCAAACGTTACAGATTTGCTGTGTTTCTATGCATAGTTTCCTGAGTACGGAGGATATCCCATGAGACAGTTGATAAAAAAAAAAAAGAAAGCAAAATGACCTCCAGTAGGCACCTGTGTGTTTGACCAAATAGTTGCTGGTGATATTTGTAAAATTTTGTTGATGGGGGCAGGAGAGTTCAGAAATTCTAATACTAGAACAAACTTTGTCAACAAAACTTTTGCTCTCATTTCTTTTATTTTTTAGCATGGCCTTGCATTCAGCCTGCACTCCGCCTTGGTGCTTCTAACAAAGGATTTTCACTCTATTCCAGGTTGAGAAGCTCCTCTCTCCTTCTGGTGTGGCCATGGAGGTGGTGAGGATGCTTTTTTAAAAGAACATGTGATTCTGAAAGGAGCTCTTCCAGTTTGTTCTCCATTAGCAGCTGGAATGGTTCCACAACTTCAAAAAGGAGCTCTTCTTTGCTGTAATGAGATCGAATTTTGTCTTCAGCTTGCTTCCATCTAGCTCTAGGTAGGCCTTCAAGGTGCAATCAGGTGTGAAGAGCACCAACAGCTTTCTATCCACCTGCATTAAGGTTGCACAGAGGAGGAGAAGAGGAATTCCATAATGCTGCAGACCTAGAGAGGGGGGAATAGAAAAGTAAATAAGTACAATTTAATTTTTTATATATATTGTGTTATTTAAAGAAGCACTGTGTAACTTTCAGTCTCTAGAGGTGCTAGACCTGTAACTTCCAGGTTTAGTTTTGCTAAAAGCCACAGGCAACACAGCACTATTGCAAAACCAAACAGTCTGGCTCCTTGTTTTGGAATCTGATAACAGACAACTTTGGAATAACAGAATAAAAAGTCATGGAGTTACTTGTAAAGACAAAGCCCCATTCACCCCTCTGCATTAAATCTTAAATCAGAGAACCAAAGAAAATGTCTGATCAGGTAAGTTTCATATCTATTTTGTTGGCTAACAACAACTTTTAGGTTAATGAGCTCTCCAGTTTAAGGGGAGCTCAGACTAGCTCAAAGTGGCTCTCAGGGTCATATGACTCTTTCAGTGACAGATCCGACCCTCCTGACTCATATACGTAAAGATATATTACAAAATACATTTGTACTCTTAAAAATATTACAATCACCTGTGAAACAAGAAAATTAATTAAGTTTATCAAAAAAACTCACCGACAGAGCAACACTCTGATAAAACTCTTAACTGAGTTCATGAAATCTCTCTGCTGGAAAAGGCTCTCTGATCCCTTGACTGTGGGTATCTATAAGGATGAAGAGAAGCCATGATAGTACTGATCAAAAAGGGGAAAGAGACAATGATGAAAAAAGTGATAATCACAATCCTCAAAGGAATACTTATTACCTGATGTTCAGTCTTTCCTGTTTGCCTCGCTGGAAGCTTCCTTTGATGTAGAAAGAGTCTCTGCGTTGATTGTGGAGGTTAGTATAAAGGGGATCCACATACAGAACATGTGGATGATGTGAAGAAGCTCCAGAGGGGACTTAAAATCCTTAATCCATTAGCCACAGCACATTTTGGAGAGATGTTTAGGGTAGGCTGCTGGAGTAACTCCATCCATGGTCACTTGCCAGCTGCTGAATTTTTAAGTCACATTTTCTTGTTTTTTTTTAGACTCTCAGCAGCTGGGAGTATTTGGAGAGGGTATTGCAAGGAGATCTCTACAGGTCAGGTAATGATATACTAACTTTTATGATGAACCATTTGGACCTATTGTCAGACTACACTGGTGCTGACGGACCAAGGTTCCTCCTGCAGAACAGCGCTGCATGGTCTCATGGAGTGAAAGATGATTCTTGGAGAATAAAGAATCCAAAATGTTGAGGTTAGCTCAGGTTGCATCTAAGACTGTCCATGAACTCAGTGACACCCTGCTCCAGAACTGGGAGGAGATTACCCAGGATGTAAGATTTGTCAGGTAAACACTCAAACATTTGGAGGCCATAAAAAGTCATTTTCATTTTCTATGATTTTTTTTTTTCATAATGATTTCTGTTGTTTTCTTGATGTTCGTCTTTTAAGTCTTGCTTTCATTTTCATCAAATGATGTGGCATCATTTTGTTCCTTACACATTACTCACTGCCTAATATAAACAAAATCTGCCTCATTTGGCCTAGATTCTCTGCACAATTCACTTTGATTACAAGCCCACATCATACAGCATTTAGTATCATTATAAAAGCTTTAGAAAAAAATAATCACGGATGAAAGGTGTGATTATTTAGGTGTGTGTAAGTAGAGCCATGTTTTCTATGAAAAGATGAGGAAAAACAGAGAGATTGAGAGTACAGATATATGAATGTGTTTTAAAACTTTCCCATGATATTTCTCTGTGGCGTATTTATCAATGTTGTCTTCAATATTGTTTTGCTGGTAAACAATGGATCTTTCCAACATAAGATCAGAGGTTAAATGTCAAAAAGCTTTGAACTGCTATGCTACCTGTCTGCATAAGACTTGGTTGGTGTCCCGCATTCAGATCCCTGCAGTGAAGAGATGGAGATGATGGACTGTCGAAAGGAGCGCAGCATCGAGCGAGGACGAGTTGACTTTCTCTCATCCAAATCCGGCTGCAGAAACACAGAAATATCAAGATTTAGAAATATACAGATGACAAATGCTCTATGACATTTATTGGCACCCAAGCTTCAAACAAGAAAAGCATGAGAACATTTAAAGGGCCTATATCACCCAAAAATAAGGGGGTTCTTTTTTACTTTTAAGTATGTAATAATACTGTTCCTTCACCAGAATCATGTACAAAGTAGTACTCTGTTTGATTAATGCATCTCTAAGTAACCGTTGTGAGTTTTGCCATGTGAATAGAAGTCCCACCCTCACCTGTGAAAAAGAACGGCTGGAGAGTGTCTACTTAGAGCAATGTTCCCTCCAGGAAACAGCGACTTTAACTGTGCTGTGCTACTGTAGCAATGTAAACAAACACCCTATTTCTCCAGTCAGGGAGGGGTGATAGGAGGTAAAGCGCAATGTCCCATCTCAAAGTTACAACTGCACAGAATAGCAGATTTTCTTTTTAAACAGTAAGTGCTAGAAATCTGGCCTCTGATCTCAGACCTTCCGTGCAGACAGGGAGAGGTGGCTTTGCTTTGAAAGCAATAGTTTTTCTTTAGGGTTAGAAGAAAAAAAATGAAATTTTAAAACAAAGGACTATCAATGTAGTTTTAAAGGTGTTATGTTGTCATAGATTTCCCTATAGGTGACTTTAAAGCCTTACAGTATAAAGCACGACATATGACCTTTAATTCAAGTGAGAGAGATCTGTCTTGACCTTGATTATTCAGAGTTGCCACAGGAAAATCTCTGTACACTAAAACTTCCCCTTGTCAGCTAGAAGTAAAACAGGTAGAACAAGCAAGGATTGATGAAGACTTTTTCCACAACCAAAGGTTAATCTTAAAAACTGCAGTAAAGGTCACAGAGTCTCACTAATACACATTGGAGCTCCTTACAGTACATCCTAACCAATGAAGGAGGCCAGTCAAGACCTTCAATCCTAAATACAATTGTGTGTGTAGATAATCTCCAATGAGACATTTAAAAAAGTTGCTGGAATTGGCTAAGATTTGAGTAAGACCTTTTGTTAAAATTATAGGTGGATTTGGTAAGAAAACAAGAATATTTCCATCAAAAACAAATATTTTTGAAACTGCTGTACCTTATTATAAATTAAACAATAAAGCAACAGTTACTAGGCAATAGACGCCATGACACTGTATGTTAAACATCATGTGTTTCCTCATGTGTCTAAATGACTTAGCAGTTCTAATTAAACCTATTCTACATTGCTTTTGCCACTGATATATTTATAAAGCAGGCTACAAAGGTCAATTAGTGCTACAGAGGTTTATCAGAGTTTGCATTGCTAAGTTTGACTTCAAGACAAAGTTACATCACAGTAACCTTACAAATGCGGTCTTTTTGGATTTCATAAAATTGTATTTTCATATCTATTTCCCCTTTATTTTATTTATTTATTTATTTTTATTTTTTTACAGTGTCCTGCCTGGTGATGTGGCAATAAGAATAATTGTCTTGATGCCAAAAAGAGCCCAACAGATTGGCAGTACGGCTATTGCCATAGTGTTACGCTTGATTTATGCATATAAATTGCTTTATTATAATTATGCAGGGAGTTTCACAGATTATATGGACACTGCAATTTAAGTAGAACAGTAAAGGAAAAACAGAAAAAAAGCAGAAAAGATTCCCCTTTATTGTTTCTGATTAATGCTTACCAACTCTCTCACACCGTATTCCTTCTCCACTTTCTTCTTTAACTGCTTGAAACATTCCTCCATGCGCTCATGGAAAGGCCGCAGATCATCTGTTACTCTCTTTCCATGCAGAGATATTCCTCCACCAAGCAATGGAATCTATAGACGAAAACGTTATGATGTTAACAGGATAAACATACAGAGGTAGGACTAAAAGCAGGGTTGATGCTCCCATGGGTGGTAGAACCTGTCCTGTACCTGCCATGCGATGAGGTCTTTGAGGCGCAGGAGTTTGTCTCGATCTTCTGGGTGCTGCTGAGTGTACTCTTCAGTGAAAAATGCCTGATTGAAAAGAAATATAAAGCCTTTGGTTAAAGAAAACCATATGCAGTAATACTTCTGGCAGATTCCAATAATGAAATTAAAAGCTCAATCAGTATCAATTTTAGCATAAAGTATTTGCCTGAATGAAGACATGAAAGTATTTGCTTTTTTAATACTGAAAGTATTTAAAATATCAAATATATTTGACAAAATTGATGATGATAGATATATCCCTAATCTTTTTACATGATTCAGAAAGGTAAAAATGTAACAACTACAGTAATATCCGTATCGCAGAAGGACATGTCCCTACAGTTCAGTAATTTTCAAGACACCGCTCCGGTTTTGAATTTGGTAACTGCTTCTCTAGTCTCAGTGTACAGCTACGACTAAATGATTTTCTGCAGGGCCTAATTAAAGTATCCACACCTTCTGACTTTTTTCCAATTATGTCACCAAATAACCACAAACTTAAATCTAAATTGTTATGTTCTTTTTAAGGAATACCAAGCTCAAAGTAGTTAAATAATTGAGGAAAGGGTTACCGTTCAATGTTTTAAAAAATCAAAATCACTATCCTTTACAACTACCTTTCACTGAACTGCAGTCTTCTGGTTAATGTCGACACAATCTTTCTATATCCAGAGAATAAAAATACAGCCCCTGATTTGCAAAACACTTTAGTCTTAGTCAGATTAGATGAAGGTTGTCTATGATGCATTTATAACTCTGCTGCAGATTCTCTTTGGATCAATGTATTAACTTTTACCACACCAAACCAACGCAAGCATGTTCTTTCGTCAGTACTATGCTGTATCTCTAGCTGTATGTTTGGATTTGTTGTCCTGCTGGCCAGTATTTTCAGCATGTCAGTGGTTTTGGCTGATATTAGTTTTAAACCAAAATGTTGGTCATTGCACTGATATAAGTGCAATATTTTGTAACAACAGATACTTAGACCTACATTAACAGGGGGTAATGTCTATCAGTCTGATACATGAATCGGCCACAAAGGAGGTGCTAAAGTAAAAATATCGGTGGTGTGGATATTTTTTTTAAGTTTCAGGATTTGATTGTTTTTAGATTTATTTATTTTTTTATTTTTATGTTTTCTTTTTTTAATGCTTTTCTTTCTTTTAGTACTTTGAGGTATTTTTAATGACAAGTGTATTATAAATCAAATATATTATTAATATTGTCTAACTGCCATTTGCAATGTCTGCTAAGGACAAAGATAAGGAACTATTAAGTGTCTATAGGAAAGTCCAAATGCAAAGCAATATCTGAATATTGGGAAAAAATACGTTCTTTCAGATTTGCTGATTGTTTTGGACAATTTGCTTTAAAAAAGATTTGGCTTTCTTTCAAAATTGGTTCCTTGTACACATTTTTCTATAAATGCTAGATTTATGAAGTGCAAGACTAATAATGTCCTGTCTACATACATTCCCTCCTCTTTCATGGATTTGCAGCACATCCACCTTCTACATGAGTTGTCTGACTTCTTCTCTGATTAATGCTCTCCCTGCCTGCCCTATTAGTCTAGGTGGACGGCCATGTCTTAATTGGTATGCTGTTGTAGCATATTATATGTTCGGAGGATGGGTTGAACAGTGTTTTGTAGAATGTTAATATCTTGGAATCTCATTTTTTAACCTATCCTTGCATTAAGCTTTTTTACACAATATCCCTAACTTTTAGAGATTTTTATTTGTATAACAAATGGAAAACTATTACACATTTTCACTAAATTGTGTTCTCTCGTGTCATGAAAGCATGACTAAATATACGGATGTTTCATCTTTAATATGACATGAGATATGTTTTTGCATGGCACTGAGTTTCAATGATGCTTAGGCCTAGAATTAACCTTCTCTTTGAGAGATGCCTTTTTTTTCTATCTTCTGAAATCCTCCAATTTGGGGTTGTAAAGTGACAAAATGTGGATGAGGTGAAGGACTAATATTCAAATGGACCTTTAACTACTAAAGAAACATTCATGTTAAAAATTGCATCATAGGTTTGATATGTTGGAGTATTTTATGAATATTTACCTTTTCATATTTAGCAAAGCCTCCCATGACAGCTGGATCAACAATGCCATTGAGTAACATGGAGAGTGGGTTGATGGGTAGACTCCAGTCAGCTTGATACTGATTAATCATGGTCAGAATCTTCTCATTGGTGGACTCCATGGTTTCTATGGCATTCTCCAATGGAGACAAGGTAGTCTGGAAATGGAGAGAAATAGAAAACAGACATTTCATGACTTGGGAAATGTGATTCATGGTCTAGATCGGCATGCCATGGGGCAAGGCATTCATTTTGAGGGTGGGGGTTACAGAGGTAGTCATCTAGGATTTGTACCTAGAAATAATGTTGAATTCTTTTACTAATTTACAAAGAATTAAAGATGATTTCATTGTTTTAAATTATCCAACTTATTCTCTTAAATATATTACTTGAATTATCAAACATAAATTTGATCATTTTGGACTGAATATATATATATATATATATATATATATATATATATATATATATATATATATATATATATATATA